CTGTACTATTCAATCCTCTTCCTCCTCTTTTATCATTTTGTTGTTGCAAATTATCCCTCTTTATGTTGTGAACGTGTTATCTGCAATAGTTACAATTATTTTAATGCCCTTCCCCCCTTTAACCTTTATGTTATAACTAGTGGCCCGGTGCATGAAGTTTGTGCCTGGGGGGTGGATGGGTGCGGTGTCCCTCAGCCTGGCCTGAACCCTCTCCAATCTGGGACCCCTTGGGGGATGTCTGACTGCCAGTTTAGGCCCAATCCCACACCGGCAGTCAGACATCCCTCTCGCAATCTGGGACCGCTGGCTCCTAACTGCTCACCTGCCTGCCTACTTGATCGCCCCTAACCACTCTGCTTTCCAGCCTTCTCACCCCCAACTGCCCCCCCTTGCCAGCCTGATCACCCCCAACTTCCCCCCTGCTGGCCTGCTCTCACCCCCAACTGCCCCCCACTGCCGGCCTGCTTGTCCCCAACTGCACCCCTGCTGGCCTGCTCGCTCCCAATTGCCTCCCACTTCTGGCCTGCTTGCCCCCAACTGGCCCCCCTTGCCAACCTGCTCACCCCCAGCTGCCCGCCCCCCATCAGCCAGATCTCCCCCAACTGCCCTCCCCTCCTGGCCTGATTGCCCCTAACTGCCTCTGCCTCGGCCCCGCTGCCATGGCTTTGTCCGGAAAGACATCTGGAAGCTCTCCCGGAAGGTCTCCCAGTCTAATTAGCATATTACCCTTTTATTAGTATAGATAGAGGCCTGGTGCACGTGTGGGGGCCGGCTGGTCTGCCCTGAAGGGGGTCCCGAATCAGGGTGGGGGTCCCCTTGAGGGGCGTGGACAGCCTGGATGAGGGGCTGAGGGCCGTTTTCAGGCTGGCCAGACCCTCTTCAGGGTGGGGGTCTCTGCTGGGGGGCGTGGCCAACCTGGGTGAGGGGCTGATGGCCGTTTGCAGGCCGGCCAAGCCCCCGGCTTTGACCAGAAGGACGTCCGGAAGGTCTCTGGAAGGGATCCTGGTCTAATTAGCATATTACTCTTTTATTAGTATAGATTATTTAATAAACTACTCTGAAATAGATTTTCAGTTTCCCGCTTCTATCTATTAATCATCTTATTCAACGTTTTGTGTACTTTTGTGTTTTTGTTTCCAGTAGAAGACCTCCTTTCAACATTTCTTTTTTTTTTTAAATATATTTTATTGATTTTTTACAGAGAGGAAGGGAGAGGGATAGAGAGTTAGAAACATCGATGAGAGAGAAACATCGATCAGCTGCCTCCTGTACACCTACTGGGGATGTGCCCACAACCCAGGTACATGCCCTTGACTGGAATCGAACCTGGGACCTTTCAGTCCGCAGGCCGACGCTCTATCCACTGAGCCAAACCGGTTCGGCTCAACATTTCTTATGTGCAGTCTTATGGTGGTAAATTCTCTCAGCTTTTGTCTGTCTGGGAAAGCCTTTATTTCTTCTTAATGTCTAAAGGATAACTTTGCTGAATATCTTATCCTTTGCTGATGGGTTCCTCTCTTTCAATATTTTCAATATTTTCTTTCACTCTCTCCTCTCTTGTAGTGTTGCTACTGAAAACGTTACAGAAAAATCCGGTGATGATCATCTAATGGAGTTTCCTTTGTCGGTTAATCTTTATGTTCCCTGGCTGCCTTAAGAATTTTTTCTTTGTCATTAATTTTTGACAGTTTGAATAAAATGATTCTTGGAGAAGGTCTTTTTGCATTGATATAATTAGGTGTTCTGTTAGCTTCCTCTATTCTAACATCTAGTTCTTTGCATAGGCTTGGAAGTTCTTATCAATTATTTCTTTAAGTGGGATCTCTGTTCCCTCCTCTCTCTCTTCTCCTTTTGGTATACCATATCTATTATCCTTATATTGCTTTTATTTTTTAAATTTTAACTCCCAGTTCTCTCTCTTCTTCACGGGTTATTTCTAGGTTTCTCTCTTCAAGTTCCCTAATTCTTTTTTTTTTTTAAATATATTTTTGTAGATTTCAGAGAGGAAGGGAGAGGGAGAGAGAGAGAGAGAGAAACATCAATGATGAGAAAGAATCATTGATTGGCTGCCTCCTGCACACCCTGCACTAGGAATTGAGTCTGCAACCTGGTCATGTGCTCTGACCGGGAATTGAACCGTGACCTCCTGGTTCATAGGTTGATGCTCAACTGCTGAGCCATGCTGGCCTGGCAAGTTCCCTAATTCTTTTTTTCCATCTGGTCTGCTCTGTTTCCAATGCTCTCTAGTGCATTCTTTATCTCATTTATTGAGTTCTTCAGCTCCAGAATGTGTTTCTTTTTTTATAGTTTGAATCTCTTTGGTAAAGTACTGCTTTTGCTCATTAATTGTATTCCTGAACTTATTGACTTGCCTTTCTGAGTTTTCTTGTATATTGTTGAGTTTCTTTGTAATTGCAGTCTTGAATTCTCTGTCATTTAAACCACAGTCTTCCATGCCTTTGAGTTTGGTTCCTGGAGATTTTTCATTTTCTTTCTGTGCTCCCAAGTTACCCTGTTGTTCATGGTATTTGATGGGTTGTTTCTCTGTGTGTGCATTTGAGGTAGAGATCTTATGGCTCTGCTCCACCCCTACAGTAATGGCTTCCCAGCCACCTCTATACCCAGCTTTGCCTTAATGGGGAGGGCGGAAGGGAGATGCCTTTTCTAGGAAGGAAACTGCTTCTGCCCCTCTGACCCTCCAGGTTGTAGTGTGAGGGCTGCAGCCAGACTTCTCCCCCACTGTTGTGCTCCTTGCTCGCTGGAGCCAGGATGGGCACCAAACTGCATCTGTGGTCACGTCCCTGTCCTTCCCCTGTCCCCCCTCCCCTCCTGTCCTTCCCCCATCCCACCTTCCCTACTCATTTCAACATGCCCACCTTCAGATGTGCTAACGCATGGATCTTTCAGGTGTGTTTGTGTGCTGAGCAGGGGATCTTTGCTGGGTTATAATTGTCTTGAGATAAATTTAAGAGGAGAAACAATGGAGTCTTCTCACTCTGCCATGATGCTGATGTCATCTCTCCCCATTTACTTTTAAAAACCTATTGCTGTTAGGTAACATTTTTTGAAGCCTAGTTTTTAGTTGAAGCATATTAAAAGTGTTTCTTGAAACATACTCTATAATTTAAACTTTTTCCATGTTAGTTTGGCTTTGTGAAGTATTTTTATAGGTACTTATTCTACTCAAATTATAATAGTGATACAATTTTAATAAAGAGGAAATAAGCAAAATACTTTTAACTAGAGGTATTTATTTCCTTCTCTATTTGATTTTCTTGAACTAGTAGATTCTGTGTGGTAAGCTGTTGCCTCTGCATTTCAGATACTATGCCGTCATGGTGACCATGTTCTTCACGGTCAGCGTGGTGAACAACTATGCCCTGAACCTCAACATCGCCATGCCCCTGCACATGATGTTTAGATCCGTGAGTACTGCTGCACAGATCAGTGAGCAGAGGCTGGCTGTCGTCTGAGAAGGCCGAAAGAGCGCAGTGTGAAAGTGGATGGTTTCCTTTTATCTATCCCAGGTCTTATGGGTGATTGATAAAAGGAAAGTTAACATCTTCCTGAGAAACAGATTTTAACTTTAAATTTCCTTCATCTGGTTGATTTTATATTCAAACTTGCTAGGAATGTTCTTTAACATTTCTCATCACCTTTTATTTCTTTCTTACATAAAATTACATTTATTTCTAGTAAATGAAACAGACCCTTCTTTCTTTTGTGTGTGTGTGTTTTAATCCTCACCTGAGGATATTTTTCCATTGATTTTTAGAGAGAGTTGAACAGAGGGAGAGAAAGAAACATCGATGTGAGAGAGACACAAGGGTTGGTTGCCTCCCTGTATGTGCCCTGACCATGGCCAGGGATCGAACCTGCAACCCAGGTATGTGCCCTTGACCAGGAATCAAACCCACAATCCTTCAGTGCTCGGGCCCACACTCTAACCATTGAGAAACACATGCCAGGACCAGACCCTTCTCCTTCCTGATTTTTTTTTTTTTAAATCGGAGACTTGAGATAATTAAATAAAGGAAAATTCTTGGAGGCATGCTTCTTTCAAAGCAGTAGAGGTTTTTTCTTTGTCTCATGTGTGGTGAGAGATCTGTGCTCAGTATATAGATAAGAACAGTTTTCCCTGGAGGGCAGAAAAGACTTCAAGGGAAATATAGTTAGGGTTGCAGAAGAATACAAAACGGGTGAGGATTAGAATTGTAACATTTTGGTGTGGTCTGAGATTTTTGTGAGATCAAATGTGTTATTCCTAAAGGCACTTCCCAGAGCTAATTATAATGACTAAGATGACCCTCACAGCATTGAGCACATAGTAGACTTTCTATGAGCACTTGATGAAGGACAGACACCCTTCCAGAGAAGAGAGAGATCTCCACAAACTTCTTTCCTCAAAACGCGGGGGGAGGAGAAACGTAGTAAAAGCTCTTATAAATTAGATGGAAAAGTTGACAAAAATAAGCCTGTAATAAGCTTCAGCTATGAGTAGTTATTGAGAATTGATCATTGTTATCTTCATTGTCATCTTTAAAAGGCGTAATTATTTTGCAAGATAGATTTTTATGGCTTATACTTGTTGCCATCATAAGAACACCTGGACCTTACTAATTATTCATCCTAATCTCCTCCTGCCCAGATGTTTTTCCCTCTTGGCGACGTTCATTTTTATCTTGAAGTATGTTGTCTTTCCCTAGTGCACTAAAACTTCCTCTTGTCTCCTTTTACAGGGTTCTCTAATTGCCTCGGGATTATCATTTTGAAGAAAAGGTAAACAATGCGCTTTTATAATTTATGTTTAGGAAGCACATTCTTGGCCCCACCTATAAGCTAGGCATGTGGGTTACTTTACTCCTGCTGGAGGGGGCGTGCTCCTGGCCTTCTTTGTTTGAGTTCTCTCTGTGGCAATGATGTGCATTCCTGAAGCAGCTGGCCAGGTAGGGGGTCCCACCTGTGCAGCAGTGTTCTCTCTGTAGAATTAGCTCTTAGCATCATTGAGTCCTTAGATCCATCCTAACCTCTGAAGCCAATCGATTGAGAACTTCAGTTCCCTTGTGGTCACCAGAAGCCACATGTGACTATTCACATTTAACATTTAAATTACTTAAAATTAAATATTTAGTTTCCCAGTCTCACTGGTCAGAGTTTAATTGCCCAGTAGCCACATGTGGCTGGTGGTGACCGTATTGGAGAGCCCAGGATGGAGCATTTCCAGGCTCATAGTTGTGTGGGACAGTGCTGTCAGAGAAGGTGTTCATTAGTGCAACACAATGAACGAAGGACTAATCGTGCTTAGTACAAAGAAAATTCCGAATAAAGCCCAAGTGGCCAAGAAGATAGAATGAAAAGTGTCAGAACTGGTCTATGTGACTGTCACCAATGGAATGTCATGTCAGGTCTTTCTTTTCCCCCCCTAATGAAACAATCTGTTGGTCCACAAACTTTTAGAAACTATTTTAAGCAACACCAAGGAAGGGTGTGTGTAGCAACCAGTGGGCACCCTGATCCTTGCACATGAAGACTTACATGGGCTCTGCTGGTGATTTATACTCTCAGGCACCATCTACTGAAAACATCCTGTGGAAATTGGTACCTGTGCCTTCCTAATGTGTTCTTGTTCTTATTTCTGCAGATACAGTATATTCAAATATGCTTCCATTGCCCTGGTTTCTGTGGGGATATTTATTTGCACTTCCATGTCAGCAAAGCAGGTGGTAAGAATCGGTTCACAAATCATTTATATTCACTGCTTGCCATGGGGCCCAGGCACCAGGTACTTACTAATGATACAAAGAAGGGAGGGAAAAAGGTAGCAAACATTTCCCTTGTGTCCAGGCCCATTGCTTGTGGTTCTGGTCTCTGTACCTAGTGTTTTTTCTTATTCCCTAGACTTACCAGTCCAGCTTGAGTGAGAATGAAGGATTCCAGGCATTTACATGGTGGTTACTAGGCAAGTATGCTAATTACAATAATGATAATTGCCTCTGCAGTTCTGTTTGCTGAGTTTTCTCCTAAGGTACATGTTTCTTGGCAAGAAGCGTTAGCTAAACAAATGATGCCACAGGAGAGAGGCACCTGGGATCATAAGTCTGAAGCGCAGTGTTCAAGAAGTGACAGAAAGGAAACGTCGAGGTCATGGTGGTGTGTTCTGTGACATGGACCCATGTTTCTCTGTTGCCACTGATCTAGGAAGAAAAGTGCCTGCCTGCCTGCCTGCCCGGCGCCCTGTGGGTGCTTGGCTGTCATCCGTCTCTTTATGACCTGTCTGCTGAGTACAGGCTTCTTCAGAAGGGCACGTTGTAGCAGTGGACTCTAAGTCTCCAAGGGACCCATTGCTAAATCTTAGATTTATTTTCTTCAGAAGTTAGCTGTTCCACATGGCAGTGTTCCCAGACCTGACTGGTCAGCAGAATCTCCCGGGAATTGTATCTCTTTGTGGAAGTAATGAGACAATTCCTGTAGTGCTTGGCCCTCCCGTTGTGAGATACAGAGGTGATGCTCCTCCCAAGTGCTTTCCGTGCTGGCAATAACAGGTTGAGACTGACCAGGCAAAAGAGAAATAGCAGGGAAGGAACTGGATTTTTGCTTCTTGACTTTGAAACTTGACCCACCCCCCTCTTTAGATTGCTATTCCTTAACACAGAAAGATCTTCATGAGCTATTGGAAGAACACTATATTAGGAGAAATTTGCAAAGGATTTGAACATACCACTTATGGAGGAAAATATTAATGTCCTGTAATTTTGTTCAGCCTCTAACTAGTCTAATAATTAAAGAAATGCAACTTGAATCCAAGATGCAGTATCTCTTTATTTTTGATCTATTATATTGGCAAGATAATAAATGATTATTCTCTTTGCTGCTGAGGGTGCAATAGGACAACCATTTTCACATAAACTGTTTACAGTATAAATTGACATGCCTTTCTGGAAAAAAGTATATGTATTGAGTTTTTAAAATGTCTACAACTTTTGACTCAGTAATTCCACTTGTGAGAGTATACTAAGGAAATAACATTTTAAAAAGATTTACATACACAGATGTACATTGATTTTAATGAAGAAATAATTGGAAGTAATCTAACCATTCTCATATTGTACATCCACATGAGAAGAGTAATGTGTGGCCATTAAATCATACTTTTGAAAAAATTTTAATGAATGACCTGAAGAAAAATCCAGAAAAAGATCATGAAAAAAGCAAGACATAAAACTCTGTACTCATTATGATCCTGGCTTAGAGAGATGTAGAAAACTACCAAGGACTGGATGGTAATACATGGTTGATTTTTATTTCTTTTTAAAGTTTTGTGCATATTCTACAGTTAGTTTGTAATATTTGTAGTACATTTAAATAATCAATAAATGTTCTTTAACAGAATATCTGGAGAGTAGCGAATGCAGGTGTCTTGTAACCCAGCCTTTGTTTTGCAGGTATTGGGGCACTGACGTTCGCGCTCCTGATGTCCGCGAGGATGGGCATCTTCCAGGAGACTCTATACAAACAGTTTGGGAAACATTCTAAGGAGGCTTTGTTTTATAATGTAAGCAATTTCTTGAACCTGGGTAGGATGAAAATTACTGCGTTATTATGTTGTTGTAATGTGTGATTTCGAATGTAACATGCCATCCTGCTAACATGCCATCCTGCTGGTAACATGCCTTCCTGCTAACATGCCATCCTGCTAATGGAGTTGAAGGATCAGTTGATCACCCGGTGAAGGGCTTTGGGCCCACAGACTGCAGTGCCTTTCATAGGCTGCTGCTGTGCATCTGAGCCACAGCCCTCCACACAGGTGGTCACGGCCAGTCTGCGTGAACATGTCTGCTAACCAGGAGCCACCGGGCAGACCAGGAACCTGCACCCCAGTGGTCCTGCAGATGCACCCAGGTTCAGACCAATCTGGAAACCTGGAAAAGGAAACTAAGCTACAAAAACTGCATGCCCAGGGGAATATGTGCAGGCAGGCCTTTGAGCAGGTTGGGGAAGACGGGTGAGAGGAAGCCCTCAGATGGGCTTCAGTCATTTTATGGAGAGTTTAAATAGCAATAATATACACTTCAGCTTCTTTTTTTTAAACTGCTGGTCTAGGGCCATGGTCGGCAAACTGCGGCTTGCAAGCCACATGCGGCTCTTTGGCCCCTTGAGTGTGGCTCTTCCTAAGCCTTAGGAGCACCTTAATTAAGTTAATAACAATGTACCTGCCTATATAGTTTATGTTTAAAAAATTTGGCTCTCAAAAGAAATTTCAATCGTTGTACTGTTGATATTTGGCTCTGTTGACTAATGAGTTTGCCAACCACTGGTCTAGGGCCTCCTCTTCTTCTCCTCCCTCTCTCCTGTTGTGATAATGCCCAAAGCACAGCCCCTCAAGGTCAGGGTGAGGTTTGGTAACTCGGGATTCCTTCACTGCCAACTTTTTGTACTGAAGCTGCAAACAAGCAGTTTGGCTTATTAGTTGGAGCTCGAGTACGTGCCTGGGAATGTAAAAATACACACTCCATTTGGCTCACATCTTTCTTTTAGAACAGTAAGTGGCACATAATGACTTCTGAGTAAATGTTAGCCATGATTCCTTATTCAATTATTGTGGTGGTGGGTTGGTGTCAAGTATATTAATCTTTGCTTATCTGTTGTTTCTTCTTCCTCTTCAACCTCTTTTCATTCTTGTCATTTATATTTTCCCTGACATTGAATTGTTCTCCATCTCTTTTCCTACTACTTTTCTAAACAATCTGAACTCTGCCTCCACATTCCTTTTGTTGTTGTTAATCCTCACTTGAGGATATTTTTTTCCATTGATTGTTGGGGGAGGGTGGAGAGAGAGATATATATATATAGAGAGAGAGAGAGAGGCATCAATGTGAGAGACACACATCGGTTGCCTCATGCACCTGCCCCAACTGGGGCAGGTATCAAACCCGCAACCCAGGTACATGCCCTTGACTGGAAATCGAGGTACTCAGGCCATCTCTCTAATCATGGAGCCACACCGGCCAGGACCTGCCCCATGTTCTTTATAATTTTTAAATCCATTTCATTTGCTTAACTATTCTCAAAATTAGTAAAACGTAACAAATCTTTGGACACAATGACTGTGTGTATTCCCTTTTGTTGTGTGTGTGTGATGATCATCACAAAGTCCAAAAGGGCAAGAACCGTAATTTGGGGTTTATTGAGCCAGACAGTGTCAGGTTGTTAGAAGCACTGGGTACATTTAACTTAGTCCTATTTGCTTTTCTTGATTACTTGTCAAACATCTTATAAAACTGCTCATTATTCTGTTGTGTGTTGCATTTCATTTGATGTGAAATATTTCTTCCCCTCGCATGCCCTTCCCACTGCCTGGCTTCATCTTCTTGGCTTCTGACATTTATGACCATGCAGCTCTTTTCAATAAGTCTGGTGAGTTTGGGGTGACTCAGGAGAATTGCCTGAGAGCTTCCAAAGCAAGTTTCAGTTTTACTCTGGACTTGACCACTGATGTTTTTATGCAAGTCATCTGGCCCACTTAAACCCTCTCCATTCTACCTTCCTGGAATATAGTGCCATTAATCAGTAGTTGCAGCAGCAAAAGCATTTGCAGGTGTTTCTCAATGATTTGCAAGAGAAATAAGAATATGTATCTTCAAATTTTCTGTTTTGCTTTGGAATTGTGTGTTTGCATTTGAATGCGGAAGGTTTGCTTTTCAAGAATGCAAAGAAATAGTCCTAACACACAGCAGAGATGGGAGCCTTGGGGAAGAGGAAGCAAAAATGGTGACAGGTTAGAGCTTGCAGGAATAAGCAAAATTAACTCAAAAGTCTACAGTATTAATTAGCTTTTACTTTTTAAAGTGACTAATAAATTAGCTATCAATTGCCAGTTAACTTAAGTTTTTAAGGCTCTGAATTACCCATTTTTGAGTTTTTTTTATTGAGGTGTGATTGACATACAGCTGATTTTTGACACATGGTTTTCAGAGTTTCTGACAGTCCCCGCATAGCAAAGAGTTGTTTGAGTAAACACACTATCAAATTCATTTTGATTTAATTATTAGAATGCTTCTTCCAAAAGTTGCAGAGCTGGGTACTTATACATTTTTATTTTTTAGAATCTGCCTTTAACTTTTTCAGAATCATCCCTAAGTTAAATTTACATTTTTTTCTCTTCTTGAGTTTTAGCATCTGGAACCTATTATCCTTGATTTTTCTAAGAGAGCGGAATATCCATCTAAATGTTTTAGGTAATACTGATTGTCTCTTTCCTCAGCAATTGATACAGTGGATCTCTAAAGTTATTAAATAGTAATAACATTCGATAACTTTCTTTTCATTTCAATACTTGCTGAGTGTTTCAAAGACAATAGAATACCAGATTATTGGGATTTCTCACTAGTCTAGACATACAGTTATCTCTTTATCTAGATGGCTTTTAATTTTTTTGCAAAAGAAAATTAATGTCCTTTTCCTAACCAGAACTCAGCATCACCTTTGGAATTTCCTAAGTTATGCTGTGTATTTCAAACTCCAAAAGCAAGTTAGCAATATAAAAGAAGCGACCCTGAGAGGGTTATTATGTCCTTATTCTTGTTAATCATGGGCATTTTGTTTCCTCTCAAATGTTCACTGTGCAAACCTCTTATATAAAACTAACATAAGAATGCATTTAAAAAGAAGAAAAGTTTAATAACTTCCATCACTCTACACATCAGCTAATTTCATTTTACCAGTTTCCTTCCAGACACCATTTACATAAATTCTTACATCGTTGTAACCCTTGTGTAGAAAAAAATTTATACTTTTTCACTTTCATTCTTAGTTTTTTGTGTGACTATATATAATCCTTATATTTTAAATAGAATGTACATACAAATGCCTCATCTAGTCAAAGCACCTTTGCTTGCACAGCCATTGCTCTATCATTGGACATTTAGATTAATTCAGAGTTTTTCCTAAGAATGGGTATCAATACTTTTATGGCCCCTTAATAAGAATTGTGAAATTGATTTTTTAAAAATCAATTTATACTACCATCAACTGAATGGCTGCCAATTCCAATTTTACCTTGCCAGATTAGAATATTATTTGTAAATTTTAGAATTATTTGATTACTAGTAGGATTGACAGTATTTCCAAATGGTGTTTAGTTACTGGTTGTCTTTTCTCTGTGTTGAGTTGTTAAGACCATATAATTTGAACTTCTCTGTGATTCACAGCCTTTCTCTGTAAAGTGGAGTCCTGTTTAGGTGAATGGTAAAAAGTTTATTTTAAACTTAAGATGAATTCTCATTTGTTTTAAGAAAGCAATACAAGGACTCTTGAGGCTGATATAGCCTGGAATCAAGGGCAAGTAAAGTGGTGTTTGGTCCAAATCTAATTGTAAGGGAAATAACATCATTATCTCTATTATGTTCTGTTTGTTCAAAAAGATGAACACTTTAGCTGTTAAAAGGAATACAACTATCTCCCCTCTTAATCTTTGCAGAATTATATCAAGTTCCGGTTGTTGGTGTGGCAATGCCCATCATGTGGTTCTACCTCCTCACGAATGTCATCACTCAGTATCCTTCGCACTCCTCTGCCGCATGGTCTTCTTTGGCATGGGATTGTCTATTCCCTGACAGCTCAGTGACATGAGTTTCATTTCTGCTTTGATCTGTTCTGCAGTAGGAGGAGAAAGGCCTATCCATTGAGCTCCCTGTGGAGGGCCAAAGAGATGATAGTGGGTGCCGAGGTCAGCAGGGCACAGAGCACTGTGAAGGAGGTGCTCGGGGTGCAGGTGTAGAAGTCAGTGGGTGATCAAAAATTAGTATATGACATGCATGCTCTGTGATTTCTACCTGGAGTTTTCTAGTATCCTGGGACATTTCACAAGCTTCCACAAAATTCTGAAAGAAATTCCAAGTGAATTAAAACTAAAATAATGCTTCTTTCGAACGACCTTAAGTCCATTATAAAAACTGTGAAGTCTTTGGAACAGATGAGATTGACTTCATTCCTTTCATGTCACCTCATAGATTTGCCTTACAGATTTCTTTTTTGGAGAAGGGGTGGAAGGACTGGGGACCAGATCAACTAGAGGTAGGTGTGATGACCTTTACTGAGAGTGTTAACCTCTGTCATTCCTTGGGTGGTGACCTTCACTGTAAACTGTGGGAAGAATCCAGAATAAGAATAATGAGAGGTTTTAGGCAGTCTGAGTTGGGACCCACAATTAGAATGGCAGGACAGGAATCTGCAGAATGTTCTACCAAGGAGCCTCAGAGCCGCCATAGCTAACCCCCGAGTTTTCTGGTTCTTAGAATATGAACATTTAAGCCAAGAGCCATGCCAGAAAGTGCTCCCCAGCTGATCTCTCAGTAGTCAGAAAACTACCTTAACCCTCTCTCTCCAGGTACGTGTGCATTTGGGGTGTCTTGATTCTCACCACAGAATGCACCTCCCTCGCTGTCACACTCATTGTGACTCTACGTAAGTTTGTGAGCCTCATCATCTCCATCTTGTACTTCCAGAACCCTTTCACTGTGTGCCACTGGCTGGACACCTTGTTTGTCTTCATTGGGACCCTCATGTACAAAGAGGTATGGAACAACCTGGGGATCACAAGAAGCCAGCCTCAGAAAGAGGACAAGAAGAACTGAGGCCTGCCTGGGAGACCAGGGTCTGGCTAAGGTCTGGCTGCCATTTCTCTTTTGTTAATGAGAATTACCCCCAGCACTGAACCACCACGTACCAGAGAATCCTCAGAGGAGGGGACTTCTCAGATTTCACATGGCTTTACAGACCAATATGTGTAGACTCTGAACAGAAACCTCTCAACCCTGAATTAGAAAAAAGAATAGTTATCTATTGAACAACCATTTGTTTACCAAAATATACAGTACTGTACTTGTTTATTGAGTCCCAGAGCTACTCGTTTTATATCCATGGTCTTGCACAAGGCTATCCATTTTGTTGTTCTGATGATTCTCTGCCATAACAACCATGATCTCGTGTCCTCATGCTTTGGTCTGTCACCTTCCACTTTTCCACCAGCCAGATGTTCCCGGCATCATCGTCAGGAACAACTGAGGACCCAGTGCAGTGAGACACTGGGGACGGGACTGGCTTCCTCCGGGGCGTGGGGACGAGGCCGTGGTCTCTGAGCTGAGCCCTGGTGACAGTGGAGCAGGGCTGGTGGGAACCCTTTGCAGTTGTGCAGGTTCAGCCTCTGAAAGGCTTCTTAAGCAAGAAGGTTGAACTCTGCCTGGCGATTCTGATAGAGTCATAGGCAAGGGAGTAAAGTATGGTGTATAAATTCAGGTCAAATCACAACTAAAATGGAAAGTTTTTCTTATTTTTCTATAAGGTGTCTTAATGTTCTTGATGGGTATTTGTGTGTGTGTGTGGTGAGGGGGGGGGTGTTGTATGTGTTTCATTACATGTAGGAAGGTGCCATTCCCTTTACTAACCTGGTTTTTCTCCCATGGTATAATTTTGAGACAGAGGAACCATGTCAGCGTGGTGTGTGTAGGTAAGTGTGATAATTTTGAGAGAAAAGCATGAAAGTCTGAGTTCTTTCATTTCCTCTTTCTTCACTTAGCCTTGGACATTAATTGACCTCACAGAAGTAGATGCTCTTCTGTAGGTGGTTAAACTTACCAGGTACTCCCTTTTTGCACACAAAGGCCTTTTTTTTTTCCCCTGGATGCAGATTATGTTCGTAAATCGACATGTGGCTTTATGGGTCCCCTGGGTTCACGCATGGTGGAATATGTATATTCTAATACCTAGAGCTATTCTATGGTGGGGCCTGAGATTAGTGACTTCCCAAAGTAGCCCGAATTTGGGCAGGTCCAAGATGGCAGCACAAGAGGACACTGAGCTTGCCTCTCCCATGAACACACTGAATGCACACCTATATTTTGAGTAGTTGTCTTTAAGAGAGAACTGAACAGCTTTTGTACAACAGAGAAGAGAGGAAGAGGCCACTTGGAGAAGATGGGAACTACAGGAGCTCTTCAGAATCAGGGAACCCACCAGGAATCGGAGTAGCTGGTGAGCACCATCGTTTGCATTCTCCTTACACTTGGGTAGCATTGGTGAGAACTCTACCCAAGTGCCCTGGCCAACCTGCAAGGCCACAGTAGTGCATCCCCAGTCACCCCTCCTGTAACCAGCTCCAGCAGGAAGGGGTGCATAGCAAGCATGCACAGCCCTGCCCCCTACACACCAATCCAGAGTTAGATCCACTGGGCCCAACAGGGCACTGAGGCTCAGCCACTGCTGTGCAAGCCCACTGGACAGCCCCACCTGGAATGAAAGGGACTCAGCAGGGCATCATTGTGCTCCTGCCCAGGGGAAAGTCCAGCTCAGACCTCCATGTCAATCAATCAAAGCAATGGGACATGCCTATGAATGCACAGAGAGGGGCCCCAGAGTGAGTCGTGCACATAGAGGGAGGCCCCTACTAGAGTGGTAGGGAGCTGGCAGAGTGCTGCAGCACATGCTCAGAGAGCACCCCAACCCAGACTGGCAGCAGTCAATCAAACCACAAGGCGAGCTTTGCACAACAGTGAGTGATGCGGTGCCCATGGTCAGGTATCCTCAGACCAGCAGCAGTCAATCAAAACAACTAGATGTGCTCCTTTGTACACCAGGCAGCCCCACCAGGATCAAGAGTAGAACCAGCAAGGTTCTATAGCACACACAAGTGCAGCTGTGAACAGCCAAAACAACAGGTCACCCAGACCTGCTCCTTCTGGCCAGGTAGCATCCTGGGCACTGCACATGCCCACCTTAACTCCAACCAACTTGCCAAAGCCATCCAGTCTACACAGACACCACTTTACTTAAGACCAATTTTTCAAGACCGGGAGAGATAGCTATTTCACCTAACTCGTAGAAAGAAACAAACACAGAAAATCAAATGAAATGGAAGAACAAGAGAAAAATGAATGAAATGGAGAAAAATAATTTGATAAAAAATTCAAAGACACTGTCATAAGGATGCTCCATAAATTTGAGAGTAGGATAAAGGAACTCGGGGACAACTTCAATAAAGAAAATATTATAAAGAATCAGAGATGAAGAATACAATAACTTAAATGAAAAACATACTAGATGGAACTGACAACAGACTGGTTAATATAGAAGAATGGATCAGCAACTAGGGAGAATAGTGAAAATCACCCAATCATAATACAAAAAAAAAGAATTTAAGAAAATAAGGATAGTATGAGAGCCCCATGGGACAGCATTATAGGGATCCCAGGAGAGGGGGGGGCGGGGGCAGAAAGTTCATTTTAAGAAATAATGGCCAAAAACTAACCAAGGAAGGAAACAGACACCCACATTAGAGAATTCCAAATAAGATGAACCCAAAGAGGCCCACACCAAAATATACTGTAATTAAATGGCAAAAGTTAAATATAAAAACACAATCTTGAAGGAAGCAAGGGGAAAACATTGAGTTACATTAAAAGGAAACCCCAAAAAACTAATAAGCTAATTTTTCAGCAGAACTTTTACAAGCCAGAAGGGAATGGCAGGAAATATTTAAAGTGCTGAAAGAAAGGAACCTACAATCTAGTATATTATACCTGGCAAGGTTGTAATTCAGAATTGAAGGAAAGATAAAGATTTCCCCAGATAAGCAAAAACAAGAAGTTCACCACTAAACAGACTTAACATGAAATGTTAAGCAGTCTTTATGCAGAAAACGCCATGCCAAAAATAAGGAAACGGGGGGGGGGGGGGGGGGATCACAGATAAAGGCAAATACAGAATTAACAGTGAATCAGCCACTCAAAAATCCAGTATGAAGATTAAAAGACAGAAGTAGCAAAATTAACTATAATAATCAGGAGTTACTCCAAACAAAAAAGGTATGATATAAAAAAGTGTGGGGAGGCAGTGAAAATGTAGTGCTTTTAGAATGTGTTTGAACTCAAATGCTTATCAATTTAAAATAGACTGCTACAGAACCCCAGCAAAACATTCAAGGAAACCAGCAAAGCGATCAACGGAACAAAATGGCAGTAAGGACATACCTGTCCATAATTATGTTAAATGTAAATGGACTAAATTCTCTAATCAAAAGTTATAGGGAGGCAGGATGTGTTAAACACCAAGACCCCAGCCCCATCTCTGTGCTGCTTACAAAAGACTCACCTTAGATTGAAAGACCCACAAACTGGAACTGAATGGATTAAAAAATATACTCCTACAAATAGAAATGAAGAGAAAGCTGGGGGTAGCAATACTCATATCAGACAAAGTAGGTTTTAAAGAATGTAAAATGAGACAAGGACATTACATAATGATAAAGGGGTCAATCTAAGAAGAGGATATTACAATCTTGGTGGAGAACCAAGATGGCGGCATAGGTTAAAGCCGGAGTTTGCTGCCTTGAACAACTACTTCAAAAGTGAAACTAAAAAACGGAACGGACATCACCCAGAACCACAGGAACGCTGGCTGAGTGGAAGTCCTACAACTAGGAGGAAAGAGAAACGCATACGGACACTCAGAGGAGGCGCAGTGCTGAAGTCAAATTCTGAGGTGCGGAGCGGGCTGGCGGCGGAAGGCGCGGTTGGCGTTTTCAATCAGGAGGGAGTCGCAGACTCTGAGCTCCAGATACAGGCGAGTCTTTAGGGACCCAGACTCAAACGGGAGAAGCGGGACTGTCTGGCTTCGGTCAGAGCGAGTGCAGCTTTCTCTCCGAGGTTTGCAGCGGGTGCTGGGACTCAGAGAGGCAGAGCCCCTGGGGACAGGACTGAGAGCCGCCATAACTGCTCCCTCCACCCACCCTGTTGATCCCGTGCAACCCTACCTGCCCAAGCCCTGCACAGAGGCATCTGCCGGATAGCCTCGGGCAAAGGCTAGATTAGCACCTCCCTAGAGGACAGAAGTTCTCTCACTGCAGACACAGCTGATTCTCATAGCCACTTGGCCTGGAGGTCAAACCCTCCCTGGTATTAGCTACAACAATCAAGGTTTAACTATAAGGCTGTGCACAAAGACCACTAGGGGGTGCACCAAGGAAGCATAACAAAATGCGGAGACAAAGAAACAGGACAAAATTGTCAATGGAAGATATAGAGTTCAGAACCACACTTTTAAGGTCTCTCAAGAACTGTTTAGAAGCCGCCGATAAACTTAATGAGATCTACAAGAAAACTAATGAGACCCTCGATCTTATATTGGGGAACCAACTAGAAATTAAGCATGCACGGACTGAAATAACGAATACTATACAGACTCCTGACAGCAGACCAGAGGAGCGCAAGAATCAAGTCAATGATTTGAAATGGGAGGAAGCAAAAAACACCCAACCGGAAAAGCAAAATGAAAAAAGAATCCAAAAATGCGAGGATAGTGTAAGGAGCCTCTGGGACAGCTTCAAGCGTACCAACATCAGAATTATAGGGGTGCCAGAAGATGAGAGAGAGCAAGATATTGAAAACCTATTTGAAGAAATAATGACAGAAAACTTCCCCCACCTGGTGAAAGAAATGGACTTACAGGTCCAAGAAGTGCGGAGAACCCCAAACAAAAGGAATCCAAAGAGGACCACACCAAGACACATCATAATTAAAATGCCAAGAGCAAAAGATAAAGAGAGAATCTTAAAAACAGCAAGAGAAAGAAACTCAGTTACCTACAAGGGAATACCCGTACAACTGTCAGCTGATTTCTCAACAGAAACTTTGCAGGCCAGAAGGGAGTGGCAAGAAATATTCAAAGTGATGAATACCAAGAACCTACAACCAAGATTACTTTATCCAGCAAAGCTATCATTCAGAATTGAAGGTCAGATAAACAGCTTCACAGATAAGGAAAAGCTAAAGGAGTTCATCACCACCAAACCAGGATTATATGAAATGCTGAGAGGTATCCTTTAAGAAGAGGAAGAGGAAGAAAAAGGTAAAGATACATATTATGAACAACAAATATGCATCTATCAACAAGTGAATCTAAGAATCAAGTGAATAAATAATCTGATGAACAGAATGAACTGGTGATTATAATAGAATCAGGGACATAGAAAGGGAATGGACTGACTATTCTTGGGGGGGAAAGGGGTGTGGGAGATTCGGGAAGAGACTGGACAAAAATTGTGCACCTATGGATGAGGACAGTGGGTGGGGAGTGAGGGTGGAGGGTGGGGCGGGAACTGGGAGGAGGGGAGTTATGGGGGGGAAAAAAGAGGAACAAATGTAATAATCTGAACAATAAAGATTTAATTAAAAAAAAAAAGAAGAGGATATTACAATCTTAAATATTTACACACCCAACATAGGAGCACCCAAGTCTATAAAGCAAATATTAATGGATATAAAGGCAGAAATGAATACAATA